GCTTCAGCCTCCCCAGCAGCTGAAACTGCAGGTGCTTGCCACCATGCTTAGCAAAATTCTGCATTTTTAGTACAGATGGAGTTTCACCGTGTTGGCCAGGCTGGTCTCAAAATGCCTGACCTCAGGTGATCTGCCCACCTCAGCCTCCCTAAGTGTTGGGAGTACAGGCTTAAGCCACTGTCTCTGGCTTGTATTAGGATATTTTATGTTTATAAATACCAAAGTTATTTTGTGGCAAAAGTTATAGAAAGTAAAGCTTACTAGCCATCAGTGGCAAGGCTCCCATTGTAGACAGGAAAGGATGGGATTTTTGGAAGGATTGGCCATGGGCAGGAAGAATCCTTGTTCCTCAAGAGAGAAGGAAGAGAAGGTTTGGGTGTGGAGGTGGCAGTTGTAGAAGCTGAGGGCCTGCACACCTGGGTGCAGTGTTCTTAGGGCCAAGGGCGGTTGTTTAGGAGGGGTGAGAACAGGTAGAGTGTGGGCACTTAGGGACCAAGCATGGAGTATTGTCGTAGGATTTTGGACGACAGAGTCCCCTCTGTGGGGTGCATAGGTGGAGATCACAAGGACCCTCTGATTTGGGTGTCAGCTCTGTGGCTGCCACAGTCTGTATTGTGCTGTGTAATGTTTCTTTGGCACTTCAGGCCCCTTGTTGAGGTGCAGCAATATCTGATGCAGAGACTGGGGAGTTGGGGTGTGAAGGAGTTTGGTGATAAGAAACTGGATTGGGAGGAGAGGGAGGCATCCAGGGACCCCTGTCTTTAGGAGTTTAATGAGGGCAAGGAAGGGGACAGAAGGAGTTGGGGCAGCAACGGTTATTAAACTTATGGCAGTATTGGGTTGCAAACATGCATTGGAGGTGGGGAGGCCACTGGTGTTGAACGTGGAGCTTTGTGGTTGGAATGATGGTTATGCCCTTGGTGTGGAGATGGCACAGGTAGGTGCTCAGTGGCAGAAGATGTTGCTCCCATGTAGTGTCCTTGGAGGGTGGGGAAGGGTGCTGGGCATTCTGTTGGTGGCAGGTTACTTGGGTCCTTTCCAAGCTTTGCTTCGATCAGGCTTTAAGCAGAACCTGGCCTGTGAGGCATTTGGTGCACAGTGAGAGCACCTTGGCTGTCCCTGGAACTGCAAGGACAGAGGGGTATGTGGGTGGGAGGTGCAGGAGGGTGACAAGTGGAGAAGCAGCAGCAGGGGCTGGTGACAGCCTCTGGGCCCCAGATTGGAGGAGGAGAGAAGCGGATGCTCTGGAGGTGTAAGTGGGAGGCTGTGTGTAAGAAGGCCCCTTGGGTGCCCACTGGGCAGGGAGCTGTATGCTGGGCATGGCTGTGGCCCGTGCCACTGTCATTGTGTGTCGTCCAGGGTCCTGCCACAAGGATCTCAGGGCTTCACCTTACAGCCCTTGATGGCCTGGCAGCCAGAATTGACTTTGTGGGTTTTTGTTTTTGTTTTTGTTTGTTTTTAGACGGGGTCTTGCTCTGTTGCCCACGTTGGAGTGCAGTGGCTCCTGCTAGGCTTAAGCAGTCTTTCCTCCTCATCCTCCGGAATAGCTGGGAGTACAGATGATGCGTGCCACCACACCCGGATAAGTTTTGTCTTTTCTCTAGAGATGGGGTTTTGCCGTGTTTCCCAGGTTGATCTTGAACTCCTGGGCTCAAGTGATCTGCCCATCTCAGCTTCCCAAAGTGCTGGGATTACAGGTGTGAGCCACTGGGCCTAGCCACCTTAGTGTTAAACTCTCTTTAGATGCAGATATCATGGAAGCTTTAGGAGAACCTCACCTGTTTTCACATTAGAAGCTTTGGCTGCAGCTTTAGGTGTCTTCTTAGAGCATGTGTTAAGGCCTTTTGTGAATAGGATTGTAGGCTGTGACCAGGGCCTCTGTCTGTACACCTAGGTCTCGCCTCCATCACTGTCCTCTCTGGAAATAGGGAGCCCTGCTCTGCTGGGACACCCGCCCCTCCCCCACCCCCCACCCCATACACCCTGTGGTTCTTCATGGGGGTTTGGTTGAAGGAACCTCTGGACTCCTCAGTCCTCTCTCCTTCATCTGCATCCAAATAGCTCATTCATTGAAAACATACCCAATTAGGGACTGATCAAGGATTTCCTACCCACTCCCTTTATGAAACACAATTAGAAGTCCTTTTTAAATTACCAGAAAATTGTAAAAAATAGAAAAAAATCAGTGTGGTTCTCAATGTGGATCCACCTGAAGGACAAAACAAAGCTTCATATTCTCTTAGGCAGGAACATATACTAGGCCATTTTTTTAAGAAAACAAAAATCTTTTCCTATTTTTTTGATTTTGTTTTTTGAGATGGTTGAGGTAGGGTCTCCATCTTGTTGCCCAGGCTGGAGTGCAGTGGTGCAATCTCGGCTCACCGCAGCCTTTACCTCCTAGGTTCAGGCAGCTCTCCTGCCTCAGCCTCCCAAGTAGTTGGGATTACAGGCGTGTACCACCATGCTTAGCTCCTTTTGTTGTTGTTGTTTTAGAGACAGAATTTTGCTTTTGTTGCCTAGGCTGATGGTGGTGGTCGTGGTGTTTTTGAGAGGAAGTTTTGCTTTTGTTGCCTAGGCTGGAGTGCAATGGTATTATCTTGATTTACCTCTGGCTCCCAAGTTCAAATGATTCTCTTTCTTGTTTTTGTCTGGTAGCTAGGATTACAGGCATGCGCCACCACATCAGCTAATTTTTTTTTTTGTATTTTTAGTAGAGACAGGGTTTCTCCATTTTGGTCAGACCTCCAGTGGTCTGCCTGCCTTGGCCTCCCAAAGTGCTGGGATTACAAGCATGAGCCACTGCACTTGGGCTAAAAATCTTTATTTTTAAAACACACAGTTATTTCTTGATTTTTATTGAAGTAGAGGTTGCAGTATCAGAGTAAGAATTCAGATGTCAGGGAGGGAATTGGCCCTGTGTTTGTGATGATTGCTGTCTTTGTTTGCAGCCTTGGAGCAAGTAGCCTGAGTGTGTGGAGGAGAACAAATCATCCCCGGCCTCTCTGGGTTGTTGGGGTTGGGGCATTGGTCCCAGGTATGTTTGTGGATTAGGGTGGAGGATGATAGTGACACCCATGAGAGGTAGGATGTTGCTTCAGGAGCAGCACTGACCTCTTAGTTTACTGAAACCCAAAGGCTGAATTTGCTCAGCCAGTGGTTCAAACTGGCTGAGTGGTGATTGAACTAGGGTTGGGTCTTTTTTTTCTTTTTTCTTTTTTTTGTTTCAACAGTATGTTTCCCCATGAAGGCTTAGGGTTGGTTCTATATATACTAGTTAAAGAAAACAGCTTTCCTCCCCTTTCTTTACTGATACGTTGGTTAATGCCATGTCTAAACAGCCTGTTTTACTTGTGCGAACAGGCCACATGGATAAGGGCTTAGCTTTCTGGGAAGAAATCAGCCATTCACATTTGCCTTCTCTGAGCTTGGCCTCCTGTGGAGACATGGGGAGCTGAGTCGGTGAGTGCTGAGCACTCTCACCCAAGGGGCCAGCAGGCCTGGGTGCTGAGCCTCCAGGTGGGTGGTAAGGGCAGGTGCTGAATGGGTATGCCTGATACGGTCTGCAGGGGTAGGAGCATGCCTGCTCCTGTGGTGATGTTCTCTGAGGTCTCTGCTGCTTTCTTTAAGTGGTGGTTCCCTGAGCTTAAGCCCATCATGCACTTCCTACTCTGTAGGGTTACTTGGTTGTTGCATCATAGTTGATTTTTGTTAGATTTGCTGTTTTAAAAATTATTTATTTATTTATTTATATTAGAGATGGGATCTAGCTCTGTTTTCCAGCCTGGTCTTGAACTTGTGGGCTCAAGCCATTCCTTCCTGTCTTCCAAAGTGCTGGGATTACAGGCATTAGCCACCACGCCTGGACTAGAATTTCAGAAAGTAGCCTTGCATGCGGATAGAACCAGAAGTGGTTCATCATAGCTTTTATTTTCCTTGGTTTTGGAGAAGAAACAGTGGGGAAAGTGTTAGGATTGTATTTCAGGTGAAATCAAAGTCCTGGGCTGGGCTAGCTCCAGGGATGCTGATGTTAAACCCTACCCTGCACCCCCTCCTTAAAAGTAGGCCCTTGGCACTTTCTGAAGGCTTAAGAAAATGTTTAATGCTCAGCTGCAGTGAGTGGCAGCATGTTCACAGTTGTAGCTGAGGCATTAATTTCATGGAGACCGTCTTCTGCTCACTGCATTTACGTCTGGAGGGACGCTACATAGTGTTACTTCTTCTGCCGGTAATTTCAAAATTCGCATGTCAGTATCTGCCTGTTCTGAGTCTTATTAGTATTTTATGCAGAAACACAAAAAATATTTAACTCCCTTATTCTTGTAAAACACCTAAGTGAGTTACTTATTTCAGATTTAAACTTTTCATCAACCTTTGTCTGTGCCGTGATGAGTTTCAGTGTACTACATACAGTGTGTTGTTGGTCTGTGGAGTCTTTGCCACCCTGTCCAGTCTGACAGGGCGCTTTGTTTCTCCACACCTCTCCTTTGGTGTTGACGCTGACCCGGCACGGCAGCTGTAGTTGGCACAGGCTTTGTGGGTGCTGTCCTCCGGGACAAGCCTCTGTCCTCCCGGCAGGCTCGGTCTGCACCCCTAGGCCTTGCTTTACCTTCTGTGCAGATGTTTCCAGATGCCTCTTGTTCGTAGGTCATCACTTTTCACCCCTATTTAATTAATCCTGCTTGTGTATCTTTACATGTCAAAAAGGGGTGTTGCCACTCTTAAGAATTTCATTTCATTTCTCTTTCTTGCAAAAACTGGTTGAAAAGGCTTAACAGGTCTGGTAGCCTTCTGGGTGGAGAGGGTATTGCTGAAAGAATTTTCCATTAGTGGCAGGCAGCTTGTAGGTGTTGGTCTGGCATCCTTCCCTGTGGGTGGTGCAGGGTGGTGCAGGGTGGTGCTTGCTGTGGGAATGGGGGCACCTTAGTATCTCTCGTCTTTTAGTGCTTGGAAGGCACCTTGCAGTGCAGGTCCCAGTTTGTGTGTGTGTGTGTGTGTGTTTTTAAAGCATGGAATGCTTCACAAATTTGCATGTCATCATTGCACAGAGACTGTGCTAATCTTCTCTGTTTTGTTAGAATTTTTAGTACATGTGCTGCCAGAGTTAGCATGTCATGCTTGGCTTGCCAATGAGAAGTTTGATTTGAAATAATTCATGTTTGAGGTTGGGGATGGTGGCTCACGCCTGTAATCCCAGGACTTTGGAGACCAAGGCGGGCAGATCAGTTGAGGTCAGGAGATTGAGATCAGCCCGACCAACGTGGTGAAAACCTGTCTGTACTAAAAATACAAAAATTAGCTGGGCGTGGTGGCACATGCCTGTAATCCCAGCTACTGCAGAGGTTGAGACGGTGGGCCTGGAAGATGGCGATCTCAGTGAGCCAAGATTGCATCCGTGCATTCCAGCCTGAGTGACAGAGTGAGACTCTGTCTCAACAATAAAAGAGGAAAAAAAATGAAATATTTCACGTTTGAACCATTTCCTGGCTGGAGGAAAAATCCTTGCTATGTTTGTAATGAAAGAGGTAGAGCCTGGGTACTGTGGTGAGGTGTTTGGTGACATTGTCAGGACCTGCGGAAAGTGGTCGCCGGGTTGTGCTGTAAGGGGCAGCAGGAGCACTGGAGGCTTGCCAGGCATGGAGGCCATGATGGGGTTGGAGGTGAGAATGGGGCATACAACTTTCTGCCACTAGGAACACAGGGCAGCCAGCAGAACCTTGCTGTGAGAGTCTAGGATCCAGCAACATTCCCGGTGGGTAATGGGGAGAAAGCACTAACCTGTCAGCACCTGCCCTTTGTGGGATACAGGCCTGGAGCATCAGGCTTCATTGGGAAATGAGTCTTCAGTGTATAAAACAATGATATACAATGAATATACAATGATAACAATGAATGATACAGTCCAGCTGGTGGAAATAGAGATTTGTTTTGGCCTAAAATCTAGAGGTATTGAGAGAGACAGAAACACAAACAACAGTGTGTGGGGGTAGCTGTGCATAAAAGGGCATTTGTGGGATCATCTTAACTCAGGATCTAGTTTGAGCCAAAACAGAGGAAGAGTCTTGGTTTCTCTTAAACAGGTGGTTTTCAGAGACAATTCAAAAGGATTTTTTGGAGAAGCACTATTGCATCTCTCCATCACATTCCAAACATAGTTTCTAATGACATTTTTAGAGTGTGGAGTTAGAGTATAGAATATTGAAATTAAATCCTTAGTCAGGAAAGGGTAGACATAACCTGCCATGTTCTCCAAGGCACCGGCACCAGCGGGTGGTGCATCGTCAGCTGGGGTGTCCTCCTCCTGCTGAGCCTCCCCCACCTCGTGGCCTTCTTGGCCCTCAGTGCACTGCACCCCAGGTGCCGTGTGCTCACTGTGCACAAACCTTTGTCATACTGATGAATTCATGCTTAGTACTGTTTATAGAGTTCATTTCTTAGTCACAGCTAACCTTGATTTTGCTTTCAGTGCAAGGACTTTTCATTTCTAGACTGGATTTGAGTGGTTTGAACTGAGGTCTGGTGACTTTTGGAAAGGTCTTCGTATGGATCGTGTGGGAAAGCACCTTTTTGGTGAGTGCCACAGCTGGCCAGCATCTTGTGATCACAGACAGATTCCTGCTTGTGGCCAGTGTTCAGTTACACAGGGTACATTTAATTTTTTAAGAATCAGGTTTGTGGCCGGGCGCGGTGGCTCAAGCCTGTAATCCCAGCACTTTGGGAGGCCGAGGCGGGTGGATCACGAGGTCGAGAGATCGAGACCATCCTGGTCAACATGGTGAAACCCCGTCTCTACTAAAAATACAAAAAACTAGCTGGGCATGGCGGCGCGTGCCTGTAATCCCAGCTACTCAGGAGGCTGAGGCAGGAGAATTGCCTGAACCCAGGAGGCGGAGGTTGCGGTGAGCCGAGATCGTGCCATTGCACTCCAGCCTGGGTAACAAGAGCGAAACTCCGTCTCAAAAAAAAAAAAAAAAAAAAGAATCAGGTTTGTGTATTTTTGAATAATTCTTTTTCTGAAGGTTTTTGTTGACTGCATTTGTTGTTCGGTGATGGAACGTATTCTTTTTTTTTTTTTTTTTTGAGACAGAGTTTCACTCTTGTTACCCAGGCTGGAGTGCAATGGCGCGATCTCGGCTCACCACAACCTCCGCCTCCTGGGTTCAGGCAATTCTCCTGCCTCAGCCTCCTGAGTAGCTGGGATTACAGGCACGTGCCACCATGCCCAGCTAATTTTTTGTATTTTTAGTAGAGACGGGGTTTCACCATGTTGACCAGAATGGTCTCGATCTCTCGACCTCGTGATCCACCTGCCTCAGCCTCCCAAAGTGCTGGGATTACAGGCTTGAGCCACCGCGCCCGGCTGATGGAACGTATTCTGATGTTAGATGTGTGAGATTTTTAAAAAGTCTGTAATAGAGTCTGTGTAAGAGAGCCTGCTTTGAGATATTCTTTAGCCTCTTCAGAATGAAAATTCATTTAAATATTTTAGAACTTTACTCTGGAGATTTAGCACATGCATAGCAAGGAAAGTTATTTTTTATAAACCGCAATCCACATTCTCTTTCCATTTTGACTGTGACACACATACCCGTACCAGGATTCATGCACACTCACGCATTGCCACACAGCCACAGATGTGCCTTTTGATGCCATGTGGATTTATTTTCTGTCCTGGCAGCCTTGGAGGCAGGCAGCCCCCTTTCTGGAGCCCCTACTGGGTGGTGCCTGGCCATCCTCTGTGGCTTCTCCAGGGCTCTACCCGCATTGCCGTGAGTTGGATTTTTTCGGGCCCTGAGTTTGTGCTTTATATTTTCTTTTGCTTTCTTCCTCTTTCTCTTTTTTCCCTTTCCCCCTGATTTTGAGACAGGGTCTTGCCATGTTGTCCAGGCTGGAATGCAGTGGTATTCACAGCCTGGTGTGCTCACAGTTCACTGCAGTGTTGACCTCCTGAGCTCAAGCAATCCTCCTACCTCAGCTTCCTGAGTAGCTGGGACTACAAGTGCATACCACCATGCCCAGCTATTATTTTATTCTGTTTCTGTTGTTATAAAGACGAGGTCTCACCATATTGCTCAGGCTTCCCAGAGTGCTGGGATTTCAGGTGTGAGCCTCCATGCCCAGCCCTTGACATTTTCTGGTGGTCTGCTTTTCCTGGTTCCCCTGTTATTTAACCTTCCCCCAAGGAAACATGTACCTTTTACATGAATATATTAATAAAATGTTCATTTTTAATCATAGCACTCTGAATTCTTTAGGAGAAAGCCTCTTGATGTGAACTGCTATCATCCCCTTGAGGACTGTAGAGAAAGGAGGAGGCAGGGAGATGGTTGCGGGGTGAGCATTGGGCTGAAGGTTCAGTGTTTTAGACCTCAGTCCTGAAAGGCTGTGATTTCCTCTGAGCGTCTGATTCTTTGTCAGTTTCCTCATGAGAGTCAGGTCACAGATGATGGAGCTAAGGTAGTGGGCTGTGGCTCGGCCGGATACCCGCAAGAGACGCATGCCGTCTGCTGTGCGTGTGTGCAGAGGAGCTAGAGCTCTTGACTTCTCTGGAGGCCGCCCATCAGCCTAGGTCAGCTGCACTGTGTGTGGTGTTAGAGTTGAGCTTATGACTGGCTCTTTTGGTGATAATTGGGAATGAAAACATTCCACAGAGTTCTAAGGTGTGCAGAGTTGTGTTGAGATCACCTTTGGTGTTGTGTGTGAGCAGTGTAGATGAAGAATAGAATAAGCTTTTCTTTGCTGATTGTGTGGTTGTATTCACAACCTCGATTGCTGAGTTGCTGTGGCGTGTTTCAGCTTCATCCTAAATAATGCATTGCATTTTAGATGGATTTTCTCACCCATATCCCTGTATCCCTGTTTTACATGGAGAACTTTGACACTTGTTTTTTCTTTGGTGTAGTTTTTAGCACTCAAAGAGTATAGAGATAGTCCCTGACTTAACATGGGTCAACTTAGGATTTTTGACTTCACTATGGGTTTACTTGGTTGTAACCCATTACAAGTCAAGAAATGTTTGTATTTGATTGTATCTCTTAAGAAGTAAAATCATTAATTTAGTTTTGTCTCTCTTAAAATTTTTATATACTCAGAGGTCATATACGTTTGTGCTTAGGACTCAGTTGTCTATACTTGTAAACAGCATCTCCCAAAAAAGTTTTCTGTTTACTAAAAACAGTGGGACTGGCGTGAACCTTCAGTGCTGCTGGTGGGAAAGAAGACTTTGCCTGGCCCTGTGCATGCACATGCATTTGAACAGTGTGCAACGCTGAGAGTTTCCATTGTGATCTTTACCTTTGATATGAATGGAAAAATACAGTTCCTTTTTTTTTTTTTGGCTTTGTTTTTCTTAAAAAAAAGGTTAATTTTTTTTTTTTTAAAGGCAGGGTCTTGCTCTGTTGTTCAGACTGGAGTGCAGTGGTGTGATCACGAACTCCTTGGCTCAAGCAGTCTTCCATCTCGGCCTGTCAAGTAGCTGGGATCACAGGTATGCACACGAATACCTGGCTGGTTTATTTTCAAATTTTTTATAGAGATGAGGTCTTACTATGTTACCTAGACTGGCCTTGAACTCCTGGGATCATGCAGTCCTCCTCCCACTTTGGCTTCCTAAATGCTATAACATTTGATGACTTGAGATGTGAATACTTTTACTTCGAAGGGTTTGTGCTTGGTTCTTGGCTTCAGTGCCTTTAAAATTGTGGATCATGATCCATTATGTCTTACTTAAGAAAATTTTCTTGGCCGGGTGCAGTGGCTGATGCCTGTAATCCTAGCACTTCGGGAGGCCCAGGTGGGTGGATTGCTGAGGTCAGGAGTTCAACATGAGCCTGGCCAAATAGTGAAACCCTATCTCCACTAAAAATACCCACCCACAAAAAAAGCTGGATGTGGTGGCACATGCCAGTAGTCCCAGCTACTTGGGAGGCTAAGACAGGAGAATTGCATGAACCCAGGAAGTGGAGGCTGCAGTGAGCTGAGATTGTGCCACAGCACTCCAGTCTGGGCAAGACAGCAAGACTCTCTTTCAAAAAAGAAAATAACTTTTCACAAGATGGCACCGAAAGCGAAGAAGGAAGCTCCTGCCCCGCCTAAAGCCAAAGCCGAAGCC